ACTCCTGGTCTGAGTGCCTTGGTGGGACTCTGATTTTGTTCACCACTGCTAATCAGGGATAAATCCACTTACATGAGATGATCAGCTCCCTGCTGCTGTAAATGGGATAATGCAGCTACACTGACCTTCAACCAGCAGACACGAGCAAAGTATGAGAGTTACAGAATACAAACTCATGTGAGGGAGAGATCAGTTCGAATTTCTGCTCATGGCACAACAAATCTGTTTGCTCCCTTAGGCTTTTCTTTGAAAGAATGTTCTAAAGTTTGTACTGCACAACCCCCACTCTGCTGTTCTCTTTTACTAGACACATCTAATATGCAGCTCTTGTTACTTTCCTTCTCTTTCTCTCTCAGATGCTGCATCTCAGAGAAGTCAGTCCTGAAAATTGCTGGCTTTGTAAGCACAGTCTGAGTTGAAAGAAAAGCACGGAGTGCATTAGGCTTCAGCTTTTTAATTATCAGTTCATAATGAAGGGTTCTCTTTGTGGGGAAAAAAAATAATTTCCTGAAGGCTGAACCTCTGCAGGGTTTCCAAGGCATGGAGGAAAATATCGATCCTTTGACAATGAGTCTCTGCACTCACTGTGCAGAATGGAAAATTCCAGCTTTGCAATAACCCCCAAAACCCTCAGGAACAAGTGCCTGTACTGCAGCTTGCTGAGAGGGGAACTGGGGGAGCAGTCCATCCAGATTGTGAGAAGGCATGCTCCTTTTCGTATGTATAGGAAGGCTGTCAGGAAGGAATAAAGGTTCATAATTCTCTTGGCCAGCTAAAAAGGGCATTTGGGGTTTGGTTGGAGTGAGCTGGATACAAATGAAGAATTTATTTCATTCACGTACAAAGACTAGATGTTACCTATTTGAATTCTGAGGTTTCTTGGGTTGCTGCAGGAAAAGCAATAAAATATTTTAACTCTGGGAAATGTGAAATATATTTTGAAGAAAATGACTGAAACAATACATTTCCTTATTCCCCCTTCCCATTTTTGTGGCTGCAATGTCAATTCTGCACTCCAATTTGGGACAAAACCAACTCTGACATATCAGACTTTCTAAAAGAAAAGATATCCAAAACATAAATCAATCCTAATTAGAAAGTTTCATATGCATAAGAGTAACCTTTTAGACTAACCCAAGCATGTCCAACCCATGACCCACACAGCACACATGGCCCAGCTCGGTCCAGCTCATTCTGCAGCCTCCTCCTGCCCCACTGAGTGATCTGGTTCATCCCAGCCCTGGGCTAAAACCAGGGCACAGGGAGGGTGCTGTGCAGCACTGACAAATGGTAAATAACTGTGTGCATTGTGTTATACTGGCTAAACACAGTCCTGTGAACAGCAAAAAACAGCCAAACAGCAAAAAAGCCACGCTTTCTGTTTTGATAAAGGAATTTGAGAATAGTTTTCAAGATTTTGGAAAAAAAAATCATCAATTTTTTGGTGTATTTGAGATTCCATTTTCAGTTGACACAAATAGATCACTACCTGCAACCTTTTAAATGCAATGTTTCGAGTTGCAATCAGATATTCAACTCAAAAATCTGATTACGTCTGTATACCAGACTTCTCTAAAACATATCTTAGCAGAGAGAAATACTGCTCCACTCACAGTCTGCCTTATTCCTGTCCCTGCTTTTTGGCAGTATGTACATCTGTGGACAGCTGTTCTCCAGGATGAAGCACACAAAGAGTAAAACGTCATCAAAAATCTCTGACAGACACCTGAGAGCTCACTGAGAACTGCAGCCACTGCCATTGAACCAGCCTGATGCATCTGTCACAAAGACAGGGTCACGTATCACACTGGTTTATGGTTTTGTTGCTCTCTTTTGTTCTGTTATAATAAAAAACATTTAAAAATGTTTTGTTATTTATCTACATTAGCTATATTTTATATGTGGCCCAAGACAATTCCTCTTCACTCGGTGCAGCCCAAGCAAGCCAAAAGGTTGCTTGTGAACACACATTGACTATATGATACTCAAAGAGTGAGATTGTCTGAGTGCCCTGCAAGACAGGGACAGATCACATATCATTGAAAGTAAGGAAAAAAAATACAAAATGGTTTGTTTTTCTTTTGGAGAGCTCTTTCTCCTCTCTGATCCTCATATCTAAGTGCTAACCCTGGTCAAGCAAAATAAAACAGCAATTCAAAATATAAAAGCCAACTGAAACCATACAACTGAAGCCAAGGTTTTGTACTGGAAAAATGCCAACGTGCTGAAAGCATCACCTTTGAGAAACTTTCTAATTGTTCCCAGTTTTTCAAGAAAATGAACAGATATTGCCATGATATGCAGGCATTTATGCACTTGAGAAACAAACCTTTAATTTCCTAAATATAAGCAGTGCAACCTAAAAGAAAGCTGTCCCAAAGTACAAATGCCATGAAATGCTAAACATGTGGTACAGGAACTGTGCAAGGGTGACTGCAATTGCTGAAGAGAATTAAAGATCCATTCCTAAGAGAGTGACTTCATTGCCTTTCCGGGTCTAAACTGATCTTTCCTCCAGGTTGGATTTAAGTTCTTGTCTTTAGTTCATGCCCAAATTACTACCTACTGGGAAATAATGCTCTTGTGGCCTCTGAGATGCAGCAGAAGCTATCAGAGCAGGGTCTCCTAGGACTCAGAGGCGTGTGCAGCCTTGCAGAGAGAGGAGAATAGGTAAAGCAGGGATGAACTGAGCCCTGCAACTGCTGTGCTGTGCTCCAGTGAGTGAGGAGGTGGAAAATTTAGCAGCAGGAGCAGGACTTGACCTTGCCCTTCAGCAGCCACCTCTCAGACACAGCTACTGCAGCCATCCCTGCGAGGAGATGCCAGTATCTCTCCCTGCTTACCTTGCATATAACGCACTAATTTATCAGCACTTTTCCTGGCAGCATCCTCTGGCATATTCAGCCCATGTTTTCATATTTCTATATTAAAAGCATTGGGTTTGTAACTGCTATAAAGTCTGTGATCTTTCAGATGGAGTTTCTGCTGCTGCATAATGGCTGTTTGTCAGACCAACCCCTTGTTCCTCAGCCTTCTCCTCCGTGCCTGGCTATTCACCTGCCCTGTCCAAGCCAGGCCTAACCCAGCACTTAGCACTGGCCATGTAACAGCTGTTCATCCCTCAACAGCCTGATTGCTGCTTCACAACCAGATTAATCTGTGTTTAAACAAAGCAATTCCTACACAGAATTTTTAAGATTCTCTCTTCAAGATCAGTTTCTTCACAAGTCTTCCACGCCTACCGCTAAATATTTGTTTTCTCCTTTCTCAGTCAGCTTTTCTTCTCCTATTTCAGCCCAATAGTTCTTTGTCTATCTCCTCATCCACTGTTTTCTGACTTCTAGGCATGATATCTTCATTGTCATGACATTCTCTATTTTCCATTAGATACTATAATACTCACTATTGCCACTCTAAAGAGAACACATTCTGCTAAGCCTGACGAGTATTTATCCATCAGACAGAAAACATTTTTAGAATGGAAAGACAATACACAGTATTACTAAAAATCTATTTTTAGTTTCTGGGCATGATCCTAGGCTCACTGCTAACAACAGAAATGTTCCTACTTTGCATTAGATCAGATACAGGTACACAGCTGTATCTTGTTTATTCAAAACATGATTATTTTAAAAACAGAACATTCTCTCGTGCTTTGTTCATGCCTGCTGCTGCAAAAGCAAGTAAGTGAGCAAAAAGCACATTCTGGCCCTGGATCGTATGCTAAAGGCATACATGCTGAGAACAATTCCTGTGATAGACTAAAAGGTTATCTTTTAATAACATTTTTAATTCATACAAACTTATTGAAACGTCCTACTGAGTTATTCCTCTTGGGTGAGGGTTTGGCAGTTAGGGCAGAAGGTTTAATTAGCTGCTATTGAGTTATTAAGCCAGTTTATAACAAGTGAAACAGGTTATCTTGCACTTTACCTCTCCAGTCATCTATTTCCCAAATCCTTTGTCCAAAGTCAATACCTTCTCTACCCATACATTCTCCACCAGAGATGCTTAGCTATTTACTATAAGAAACAGGTTTTCATTCTGTCTGTTGCCTATTATTTTCCAAGTTGTAACAACTAATATATAAAAATAATTGCCCTACTCTTTCTAATTTTGGAGCCATTCTTTCTGACTCGGTCATTTTACCCAAACTTCCAGTTGCTTTTGTTCTTTTCATTTAACTGCAGTTGAAAACCAAACCACACTGCTCAACCGAAGAAGACTGGGTTACTGAAAGAAAGCTGCTGACTGCAGCAAAGGAGCAAGACCTAAAGCTGAGACACTGCAACTCATCAGGCAAAGAACCACAGCTTTTCACCCTCACTGCCTCAAACACAGTGTGAAAGCAGCACACCACAAAGGCAGCCTGAGGATGCTGGGAGCCCCTGGGGACATGAGTACTAGTGACCATGAGGGGCTGGGAAGAGTCTGGAAGAATTAAGAAAGATTAAAAGCTACAAGTCTAAAAGTAAGTGTATGAGGAACAATCAGTTGACGCTGTGTGTGCTGATAATACACAATCTGCCCTGTGCATGCTTTGGAGCACCAGACCAAATCACCTGTTATAAAGGAATTAAGCTGTTCCTGGAGGTTTCAGAAGCTAATGCATGCTTGAGCCATGGTGAACAATAGCAGCCTTGCAACAGCCCACAGCTCCACAGCCTTCCAAGTGACAGGTGTGTTCTGCATCTTAATAGCAGGATTTAGAGCCAATTCCCAGGTTACTCATTTCTGTCCCAAATCCAATACTGCAAACTGCAGCTTATTTAATGTGCGCCAGCACTGTCATTCCTTTATAAAAAGCCTTGTCAACCTTTTCATTCCTTGCACAGGCAGCCCCATTTTTAGTCTGCTCATTTCAATATGAAATGTATCATCTCTAAGATCAGCAGTTCAGCTATACCGTTAGCCTCTTCACTGCTTACAATTTTGTAACAAAGAAGGGCAATAACAACAAGAAAAGTCACATTTTACAGAAAAGGTCAGCATGTACTTACATAATTAGAGGCAAGATCAGGATGCAGATAATCAATTCCTGCAATAAAATAATGAGAGAAAACAAACTGAAGGTTAAGAATTTCAAAAATATTTTCTAATCATCACAGAAAACAAAAAACTAAACTCCCTTGTAGCTGTAGGAAAACAATCATGGTGAATAATGCCATTGATTGAAATGAAATTTCAGTTTTTATGTATTGATTTATAAACTGGGACATCACTTCTAATGCAGCCCCAGCTAGGTGTTGTCAATCATTTGTGCCAAAATTCAGGTGCAAGTTGAGAAAGTGAGCTTGGTGATGACATTTATTGGCCTGTTTTGTCAATTGCATCATATTTGTTTAGTACGACTAGCTTAAATCACAGTGTATCTATATACAAAGAGCTGTCACGTACAGCAAAGCGTACCAAATCTGTGAACATCAGCAAACACTACATCAGTACAGCACACAAAAATGGAATTTTTAACCACTGATAACAGTAACCTAAGTAGAGAGAAAATGTGGATTAGACTGTTCTAGCAAATATCTGAGCATAGGTTGCAGTCTGAGATCTGGGCTTCATGAGATACAATATCGTGACACTTAGATTCTGAGCATTCCCATACATGGCTTCAAAAAGCTGACACAAACCAGAAATCCCAAACGAGCTAAATGTTCACTGGAGCTCATCTGGTTTGTGCTTAACACTACAGGCACTGAAAATGCCAGAAGGAACTCTCAGATCCCTGGAATCCTAAGCAAACCAGACACTTAGGTTGCAGCTGAGAAGAAAAAAAGAATACCATATCCAAAGGATCAAGGAGATGCACAGAAAATAGTAACCCTGATATTTTATAAAGCATGAGTTTAAATGGAGGCTCCACACCTCAGCAGTTTGCTAAACCCTGGAAAAAGGCAGTGGTCCGGAATACCTTTATGCAAGAATTATTTCTAAAGCTGATAAATACACAAATCCCCATGGATGGAACAACAGAAGTGGCAGATCTACACTCAGATGAAATAAATTAACCTATTAGACATCCAATTAAAATGTACAAAGAAATGGCCACCAATTTCATGCTTTGCTTTGAACATTACCCCTGCCCTACGCTTCTAACCTGCATTTTACTATGTGCTTAATTATATTTGCAAGTATAATGGCATGTTATTGTGATTATCCTGATGAAAATATTACTGTCCATTACGTAGGGTCCTTAGCACTAGATTTGCAAGAAGGGATCCTTGCATCTGTGGAGGCCCTTGCTGATTCAAAAGGGATATGGGCAACAGAGGACTCAGTGAAGAATCATTTCATGCAGGAGCTCTATTCCACACTTACTGAACTGAATATAGATTAAATTACTGTGTTCTGTAAAAGCTACATCTGATGGGCTAACACTTCTCAACAGCATTCTTTGACTTTAAGCTTAATCAGTTTGTTGTCAACCCCATGTCCTAATCATATCTAGTCATTCTGAAAGAAAATTCCTGCCTTTGTGGGAACAGTAAAAATGTGATCTCTCATGACATCAATATCTGTGTGTCTGAATCTACTGTCTAATTTCCATGAAATCTTTGTCTTAGGAATGAGCAAATGAATGAGGACCCATGTCAGCTAATCCCAGAAAACATATGTGGATCCAGCCTCTTTATTTATTTTTAATATTATTCAGCCATCCTAAAAGGAAAATATTCAACATCTGGCCCTAAGAGCTGCTGCGACTTCAGCTACAGCTGTTATGTTCATCTTCCTTGAACTTAGCCTCAAATTAGTAAGGTATTTAATATGCAGGTCTTTATTGACATTCAGCATGAAAGTGTTTAATTATTTCAGCTGTAGAAGTATGACTTTGAGAATAATGCAACCCAGAAAATGTTTTTCTAAGTACTTTTTGCAAGGCAATTAAGTCCTCTAGTCAGCACCTACAGGAGTCAAGGGGAGTCTTTCCTTTGGTTTTATGGTCATTATAATGTGCCCTCGAAGACTGCTGTTTGATAATTGCATACCACTATGACTGCTTTGGATATCTGTGCTTCTCTGTCCCTAGTGGAGACTTTATAATGTATTTTCCCCGAAGACTGGTAGTCTCAGCACTATAAGCTATCCATTATTAATCTTTTTTTGACTTTGATTGCATGGAAAAAGCTACTTAAAAATATTAAAGTAGCAGGCAGTCTTCACTTACCATCATCCATAATTCCTATGGTAACTCCTTTCCCTGTGTATCCCAGCTCCCACGCCTCAGCTACGTTAAGATCAAGTCCAGGCGTCCCATCTGCTTGACCAGTGTTAATCTGATAGATCAGTGAAGAAGAACAGCTCTTTTTACCTCACAGACACACTTCCACAGACACCAATTCCATCTTTATGTCTTTGCATGCATCTTTGGTATAGAAAATAAATCCCATCTGCTTTGAAGTATTAGTCTCTCTGTAACCATACCTACTGCCTCAAGTTGTAAATAAGAGTTATGGTGGTAAATTCACTTCTTTGTGGTTTCTAAGATTTGGTTGAACTCTGAATTTTTTCAATCCAAAGGAGTATTTTTCTCCTCAGGTGTATCAGTGTGCTTAAGCTAGCAAAAGTTGCACCAGCAGATGCTACAGAGGATCGCTTTATGAGCAGGTAATGGTAACAGTTTTTATGGAAAGCAGGGAGCTACTGAAATTCAGTCCCACTGGTTTTAATATCAGAAATGACTTTTTGGATTAAGAAGTTAGGCCTGCTTTGAGCAGGAAGGATCAGTAGTTGGACTTCACAGGTCTCTGTGGGTATGATTCCTAAGCGCAATCCCCTGCCTTCAGACAGAAGCTGTGCTTACCAATCTCATTCACAAATTTCTCAAGTTCCATGTTGGACAGAATATGAATTTTGCTATTCCAGATGCAGAACTATTCAACTTTATGTCAGATACCATTTCTCATTTCAAAATGCACTTCTGTGATTGATTGAAGTACAGCAATGAAGTGAATTAATCCACATTTCAGTTCATCATTTCACCAAGGGTGAAGTCTCAGCCATGCTTACACACCCTCATTCATCTGGCAACTCTTGTCTTGGGAAAAAAACCAACAGACATATCTGATAGATTCACAAAACATAGGAAATGCATTAGAAGGAAAGAGATTGAGAAACACTATTCATAAACAAAAAGAGCCAACTTAATTGAACAAGATGGTACTGTATTTACAATACTCTACATATGTCACAGTGTTAAAATTGAGGAAAATGACTTTATCAAAGTTTTAAGAGAAAGACATCTTTCTTTGTTACTTTTATGAAAAAAAAAAATTCTTTCAAGACTAAAAACTTCTCCCTGTAAAATATGACACATTAAAAATGAAACAATTCAGTAAAATATTAATTTATTTTGACATCGGCTTAAAGCCAGAATTCTGCTTTTGACTGAAGAAAATCAATTAAGCAGTATTCAGATTTGCAAAAGAAAAGAAAAACCTCTTTTTTTTTTTCTAGTAAGTATACTAGAACTTCTTGTTATAATTCTATAACTGTTTTACCTGGCAACAGTTCAATCAAAGACATGATTCACATGCAGTTTTTGGGGTCACATCAGCACACCCGGAATGCCCACAGGACACCAGTACAGTTCTCTTTCAAGCCTTCTGAGGATCTTTCTATTGACTGAAATGAAATCTAGCTCCTGAAATTTGCTGGGTCTTCCCAGCATAAAAGAGGTTCAGTTAAAAACAACACAACAGAGCCTTGGATTGATTCCCAAATTCTTAGAAGATAATTGGAAAGAACTCTTGCAAGACATTGTACCAGCACAAAGTAATTTGAATGCCAATTACTTAGTTACGCTCACTGTGATTTTCTTTCAGAACTTACCAAGTACCACTGCTTTGTAAATAAAGGATCATTCATGTTGATGTCTATGTCATTGATGTCTCTATATCCTCGCTTTCTTCTGCTGAAGCCTTCCTGCTGCACAGCCTTCTTGACCTGGAAGGATTAATTTTTACATCTTTAGCTGAACGTTCTTCACCATAAAGATGTTTCTGACTTTGTTTCCTTTCTCTGCAGGAGAGATAAGGGTTCTGAAATCACATTAATTGTGTCTGCATCACTCATCAGCAACCTGGGGCAGATTTCTGTCAAAATTTGCAGAGGGAGCTCAAGAAATAATGTAATTCTGGGGAAGATGGCTATGGAGAGAAGAGACACTCAAAAGTGCCCTGCCTGGAGGAACACATTTTAGGTGATAGAGGATTTGTACAAGAAACAGACCCTACTCTGACATCACTGATACGGACCTTCTAGCCATACTTTTCTTTCTCTCAGCCATCAGAATCAAAACGTCATTATTAGATGACAAAATTATGTAACTAATTCCCAATATAAATATTCCAAGCTGCATTTGATAAAATGAGGCCTCAGTCACACTTTTTTTCAGACTTTTCTCTAGGGTATTTTCAGAGTATTAGGTAGCTGGGAGATTAGATTTACTGGAAGAAAAGTATCCAGGGCTATGTGTTCTCACTGTACTCCTGAAGTTCTTGGAAACACATCTTACAGAGATGCACTTTCAGGGATTATCTTTGTTATTAATAAGTGATAAATAAATGCATTGGCAAGAAAAGCTAGATGGCAAAATGGCCACTAAATGGACCAAGCTGGCTGAATTGTAAGATGTGAGAATACTGGCTGTGCAAAACATGCCGCAGTTTGAGATCCTTTTCTTTATAAACAAACAAACAAAAAAAACCCCACTAAAATATGTTCCTATGCACTATAAACAACAATAAAAGTTAGACACACAAGAATCTTTGGAGGCAGGAACTACAAATGTCAGATCATATTCATCTTATTTGCAAAAATGTAAAAGGACACCACCGAATGGTTCTAATCATCATTATAATATGTGATAACATTCAACATATAGAACCAAGATTGCATAATAGTGCAAATATTTCACTGATATATATATATATTCATCCCTCTTAATCAGAGAGGAAAGCTTAAAACTATACATTGAGTAAACTTTGAGATGCAGAAACAAGGCAGCAAAGAAACTAACATTTTCTTAGGCATTTTCTTTAAAAGAAAACAACAATACCACCACCACCACCACGCCAAAACAACACATGGTTATTAAGGAAACCTCATAGCTTAAGTAACCATTTCTACAAGTGTGGCTTTGGCATTTCTGATTAAGAAGATGTATACCCTGATGTGTCACAGTAACTCACGTAGTGTCAGACAGAATTCATCAGAGAAATTCCTTCAAAGGCCAAATTAGACCTTAGAGGAGTTGAGTCATTCTCGGAGGTGTCCTTCCATCTCCGTTAATTAAAGCAGGAACCTCAAAGGACAGAGCTCAGCGAGATGCCTGTGACCAAGATGAAACTGGGATACAACTGACTGGGGCTAAAAGCTATTTTCCTCACAGCTACATTGCCTCATTATAACCTTGAGAGCTTAATGCCAGTTCATAGTGAGCAGGATGAGGCATATGTGACGCACTCAGAAAGAGGATACCAAAAAGAACTGATCTGTCCTGAAGAGGCAGTATCAATGTTTCTAAAAACCTACTTTTATGAATTCCAATTCCTTAACTAGAGGTGCAAAATGATAAAATATTGAACTGGTAGGTGCTTTCATTTATATACGTTTCTATTACTTGCTCAAGTTCATTAAAACCAAAGCAGATGGAAAAGAACGTGAAAAACTAACGCCAAATAAGCTGAAAAGAAGACAGTGACTAAGTAGGAACCATACCAGGTGTACTTTGTGGTGCCAGGTACCTGTATAAAGAAAGGTATAAGCACACTGTTTGATACCTCTAAGATAAGGCTCAGTGATGCCATGGAGACAACAGAGCAATCACCTGTCATTATGCCTTACTCTGTTACCACCCCTGCCTCCATGCTTGCAATTGCAAACCCCGAGCTGTCACCACATGAAATAATTATGAACAGAAGCCAACTCTCAGTTAGAGGGATGCCAGAGAAAAAGATTCACGCATTTATGCACCCACGCAAGCTTGCTGGCTCTGCAGGACCTGCTGCATTAAGGCACTGAATTAGGATTTAGTACAAAAAGAATTCCGCTAATTAAAAAGAATGTTTTGGAGCCCTGGCTTTTCTTTAAGACAAGCTGAAGAAAGTGAGGAGCAATTTGCAGAAACAGCACAGACTGACTTCACTCTTCAGGATCACCTCATTTCTCTGACTTGTTATATCTGTACAATAAAATATAATTTGAATCTTTTATTATATTACATTACACGATATTGTAATTCCCCGAGAGGTGGAAATATATGTGAAAAGGATGTATAACCTTCTCTGAACTAAAACCACTCTTAACAGGCTGAGTAATTTACATGGACATGAGGCACGTGAGATACTGCCATTCAAGGAGAAACTATTTCAGAATGTCTGAGGCCTCCTAAACCCTGCAAAAACAAGGCTTTTCTCATTAAGTTCAGTAATGATAGCAACTTGCAGAGTCACATTCAAAACAGACTGGGCTTTCTTGCCATGAAATGAGTTGAAAGGTTTGGGTAAAGCCTTGACACCTTCCCCATCACAGAAGCTACAAAATGCCTCATTCAGGTACTTTGTGTAAGAATCTCCCCTGCACAAGAAGAACGAACTTGCCTGATGAAAATGCTATCCTAAGATCAGAAAACATCCATATATTCCAGAAAATAAAATCCCAGGTGGAGTACATTTATCCTTGATGTAATTCCAATGATTTCAGCAGAGAACAGCCAATTAGCAGATAGTTGATGGGAGTGGAACCTTGTACTCTTGCCAATAGGCTACATCTACCAGAAAAATATTCTGGTATTCTAGTATTTTTCCTCAGCTGTAAACTTGTCCTTGACCTAGTCCAGATCTGAAGAGGAACCACATCTTATTTTGCTTCTACCTGAAGGATTTCTTCTTACAGGCTTCTCTATGATATCTGTAACATAAATGCATTAAGCACCTTGCTGCAGATAGTAAGTTTTAAAAATACATACAAGAGAGAACTTGGGATCACATTTTTGCATGTGGAAAGATAGAAAATCATAGAAAAGAACATTCTGATCTTATAATAGACACAGTCTATTATGTCTATAGTTATGTCTACTTTATATAGACATAAAATAAAAATACCGTATTTTTTTCATGTTCAGACTTGGAATCCAACCAGCAAAGCAATCCATAATGCATCCTCATGCCATCTTCTAAATACTTATTTCTCTAACTGAAGCAGGAAAAGCAGTGTTTGTAAGACAGACTTTTGATAATAGCATCTCTAAAGGCTTTGAGCCTGTTAAGCACGACGCTTATTAGAAATTAGCGAAGGAACAAGACTTCCTATTTTTCACTGTCTCAAATTTAGGCTTGTCAGCAATAATAGCTTTTATTTCATTCTTAATACATTTATTTCTTCTTCATTATGATAGAGGATTAAGAAATGAGTGTGTATTTTATTAGTGTGTGGCTAGATCATGCAAAAGTTACTAGGTGTGTTATTATCGGAAAAAGAAGGTCATGTATCAAGGAAGGTACAGTCCATGGACGATGGGAAAGAGGTTCAGGTATTGATTTTTAATATACTTGTACTTATGCATGGTGCATAAAGCCACTCGGATGATATTAAAACAGCAGGATACTGATGCAGAACAAATTAACAAAATAATCGATTGTCTGCAATACTGCTCCGGGAAGGCCAGCAACCACAGCACTCTAACTGTGCTCTATACTCCTGTGAATGCCAAGACAATCAGCTCCTCGTTTTGAAGAAACAGGGTTAATTATACTGTTGAGTTCCTGCAGTTAAATGACTCCATTATATTGAGCATAAATGACAGATTTACTAAATTATACCAGTGGGTATAAAAAGTGGAACAGTACGCACAACCCCCAACCTCAAGAACATGACAGCAGGAGAATTCAGGCCAAATTCCAGTGGAAAAAGACAGTCCCAGTGATGACATCTAGTAAGTGCGACTTGCATGGCTTTAAAAAACAAAAACACAGCAGTAAGATGATCAGTCCAAAGAAGTGGTGGATCTTTTCTCTCTAAAGCCTGAGTTCAAAGTAGGTCTGCTGCTAAAAGCAAAGGAAGAAATTGAAAGCCAGTTGCCCACATTTTTTTAAGAAGTCAAGCCGATGGTTAGTCTTAAGCCCTACAAATTGTGCAGAGGAGCAGCCTGCCATGAAGGTGGCTTGGAAGAGCATGTCCACATACCTGAAGGCATCAACCAGCAAAACACCTCTGTCTACTGGAAAGCATTCCTGACTGCTGCTATAAAACACAAATTGTGACAAGAGAAGTGGAGACAGAAGAGTCTGTGAGATCCTCACACCTGATAGCCTTCAAAAAGGAATGAGAATGGGATATGAAACACCTACAGCACCTTGTCAGGGTCTTAGCTACAAATGTCATCCTCTCTCTGATCCCAGTCCTCAACAGGTGTCTTTTTCATCTCTGATTTCTAAGTAAACACAGATGAAAACATTAAATTTGCTATCCACTCCATCCATGTAAAGAGAGGGGAATACTGATTCCGTTCACGGAGTATACACTCATCATCTGCATTGTCCAGCAGCAGCTTGCTGGGAAGAAGCTCAGGAAGCTGAAGAATACATTCTTCTACATTTTTCCTAAAGCCTCAAAGTAATGAAGTTTAGTGAGACTTTCCACTACAAAGTAAAAAGAATGACTTTGACCATCCTCACTAGAGAAAAGGGAGTACAGACCTAGCGTTGCTTGAACTGCAGCTGAAGTCAGATGAATATAACAAAACCAAATGACTTTTAAATGTTAGCAGGGGCCTCCCTGGGAGTGTATGTGACTAAGCATTGCTCCCAGGCTATGGTGTATTACCCATTCTCAGTCAACCATTCTTTCAAGTACTTGGCTTCCTGACAAATAGAGACCATTCTCAAAAGCAGAGAGCCTGACACCAGACGACACGCACTTCAACCTAATGGTTGATTCTCCTG